AGAAAATAGCCCTGGTTTAGCCAAACCAGAACATTGTGGACTCTGAATTTCTCTAAGTCTTGTGTTATTGTATCCATTATTTTTCTTCCTTCTCAATGGTTCTGTGAATGGTTGAGTGCTATACTAGGGCTGTTTATTTAACAGTGTCCAGCAATGTAGATCAATTTTCATGGTCAGCTGATATCGAGTTCACATCCTTTTATGAAGAATTAAGAGGCAATCCAAAACAGCACAAATATTTTTTCCTCTTTCTTATTGTTATTACTTATTATGTTGGTTATGAATACACCAGCATAGGACCATCTGTCTTTCCTAGATAGATGGAGAGAGAGAGGGAGATGATTTGGAGTAACCTATGCTTTTAATTTCTGGGATGTTTTCAGTTTGGGGCAAAGGGAGAGAGGAATGTGTGTCACTTGGAAACTGTCTGTTTTCTGTATATACCTGTCTTCACTTTCCTAGTTAGCTGATGCTGAAAGACCTGTATTAGAAACTTTGAAGACTCTTAGTTATTACTTACACATGGGGGAAAAAAAAATTACTCAAACTAAATCGTGTAAAATCTTTGAAAAATTGAGTATCATTGTAACCATTAACCTTGTTAGCTTGGAGTATGTGCTTTTTTCGTGTGGATGTGGAGTTTCAGCTATAATTCTACTTGCACGTGCCCGAGGGTGGGGACTACCCTTAATCCTAACTGTTTCTGTTAACCGTTTACTCCTGTCCTGGTTGACCATGTTTGTTGTTGATTCAGAGCCTGAGATTTTTGCTAGATGTGTGTTATAATGCGGATTACTAGAGGCTACTATCATTGACTGTAGAAATAGAAGTAATACGTTGTTGTTGTAATGTATTAAGTTCATATTCAGTCCTAACCTTTGCAGAAGTGAAGAAACTTTGCATCCAGGGCTTTGTTCAGTCTTCCCTTCCCTTTCCCAAACTGTGTAGCATGTAAGTATTTGTTATGAAAAAGGAAAGGAAAACAAATTCATAATAATGGGAGATCGAAAACTTCATTGAAAGAACTGTATAGGGAATGGTGGGTCAACTCAGAAACCTGCTCTCAGAAAGAAAATTGAATGCAGTTCAGTAGTTGTGCCACACAGTGTCACAATTGGACTTCACTTCCTTCCACTTTGTATCTTGCCCATTGTAGGTGAAGATATGTACAAAGCCAGAGAAGAGGGGTCTGAAATTTGGGGGGCAGCTGAAGTGCAGGAAGATGAAGATACTCGTGTAGAAGTTCCACTGGATCAGGTATTGATCGATCTTTAAATAAATGGCTTTTTTTTTAGGACCACAGATTGTGTTTTTCTTTCCCCAATTTCTTTCAAGTGTACAGCCTAATTCTGTGGGAATAATTGTAACAGCTCAACCATATGGCTTCTTTTATGGGAGCTTTAACAAATCTTCCTTTCTCTGTTAGTGTGTCAAATATTAGTTACCTTTTTATCAGCTTCAGAACTGCTCTGAGAGCCCTTATAGGGCCTTAGAGGATCAGGACTCCCTACTGCCACAACCACCTGAATCACAGTCCCTTTATATTGGTGGAGCAGTGTAAAGGGACTACGGCACCAAATCAAGGTCAGAATTCCTGCAGTCCTGAACGACAAATAGGCATTAATTCATCTGATTTTTATTAAGGCTGCCAGCACGTCCTTCTGTTGGAACAACATGGCCAACTTTTTAATCTTAAGTGCAATAAATAGGTCTTGATAACTAAACATAAGGTTATATCCCCTTTGTTTTATTTTGATTTGTTTTTAAAAGAAACTTCTGTGAACTGAAATAATACAGGAAATAGGTAAGTTGAAGTTTATTCCAATGAAGTGGAAAGTAGAACTGCTTAAATTATTTGCTGAAAAATTACCTTTTTTTTTTTTTTTTCTGCTAGTGAATTGCTCGCAAGACAGTCCTCTTTTTCAGCTTATGTGTTTGTAGGAATTTGCCAACTTGTTCAACTTTGTGTGCTTTTGGTGTCTGTTGATAATGGCTTGGGGCCAGCCACCTAGGCCACAAGATAATATTTCTGATCCATGCTGTAATGTAAGGAATCACAGATTACTCAACAGATTTCTCAGGCTAAAAATCATCCCAACAACATGAGGGATTCTTGGGCATTTTTCTGACTTCCTGGTGGTCAGCTGAGTGCTGAGGAACAGCTGCTGATGTGAGACTGTAAACAAATGGGAGAATGGGAGGGAGGGAGTTAAAAATAGTTGTTTGTAAATACACTTTAATTATGCAGGGCAGCATAATGGAGCACAAATAATCTTAGGAGATTTCTGGAGTGTGTTGGAGACAATTTTTTGATGTAGGTAGTGGGATACATGATTAAGAGAGGCATTCGGCTGAATTTACTACTCATGAATAAAAAGGAACTGGTTGGGGATGTGATAGTGGCAGCCTTAGTTGCAATGGCCATGAGACAATAGGGTTTAAGACCCTGAAGAAAGTGGGGATGACAAATAACAAAATAAAAATCCTGGAATTCAGAAGAGTGGACTTTGGCTCTTTTGGGAAACTGGCAGGCAGGAACCTATGTGAGGCTGCCCTGAAGTGCAGAGAACTCAGGAGATCTGGTTGATCTCCAAGGGTATCTTCCTCAAAGCACAAGAACTATCCCCACGGGCAAGAAAACATGCAGGCGTAGCAGGAGGCTGGTTTGAATAGAGGACTCCTGACCTCATACCAAAAGAGGCAGAAGAGAGGACAGACTGCTAAGGAGCAGTATAGAGACATTGCCTGGGCATGCAGGGATGGAATTGGAAAAGCCAAAGCTTGTTGAGAAATGGAAACTGATGCATGTGACTGGGAATAATCAACATGGATTTACTATGGGCAGATCATACTTAGCCAACCTCTTTGCCTCAGTGATGAAATAACTGGCTCTGTGGATGAAGGGACAGCAGTTACTGTCATTTATCATTTATCTTGCTTTCCACATAGACTTCCATATCTTTGGGAGAAACTGGAAGAAGTGTAGTAGATATGGGGAGGAAGATGTCCTTAAGGAAGGTAGGGACTGGATTTGTGGGCTACAAGGTAGATGAAAAACTGGCTGGTTCAGTGGGACTTCAAAGGTCAGTTGGTTGAAATTTAACTGGCACATATTTACAGATGGTGGTCCTCAGGGTTTGTGACTGGGTCTGATACTTTTTAACATGTCCATCGGTAACATGGATGATGTCATGGGATGTAGCCTTATCCAGGCCCAGTAGCAAAGCCAGACTGTCACTCTTAGCTGACATGCAGGGCTGCCTTTCAGAGCAATCTCAACAGCTTGAAGGAATGGGCTGACTCGAGCCTCAGGAAGTTCAGTGAAGAGAAATATGAAGTTGAGCACCTGGAACATGGTAACTGGGTCTTGGTACAGTCTTGGCATAGGTAGGCTAAGGAGCAGCTGCAGAAAGGGCCATGCAGCTCCTGCGGCTAGCAAGTTGACAACGAGTCGGTGGTGCTCCCTTTTGGTGATGAGGTTGACTGTGCAGGCTGGGCTAGTGAAAGCACAGCCAACACATCAAGAGAACTGATTATCTTCCTGACTTGGCACCTCTGAGGTTGCATCTAGAATATTTTGTCCAGTTTTGAGTCCTTCCCAGTACAAGAGATATATTTACAAACAGGAGATAGTTCAGCACAGCAACACACTAAAAAGTTTAGGAGGCTAGAGCTTATGACACAAGGAGAAGCTTAGGAAACTGGGTTTGTTTCGCCTTAAAGACTGAGCAAGAGAAGGCAGGTCAAACTGCTCTCTTCAGCTACAGATGGAGTAACAGAGAAGGTCAAGCCAGGCTTTTCTTTGTGTTGCACAGCAAAAAGATGAGGCAGTGGTCAAAAGTTGCAGCAAGGAAAATTCTAATTGAACATAAGAAAAATATTTCCAACAGCGAGAACTGTAAGCATTTTACTTTCCAGAGAGTGTGGGGAATCTTTTTCTTTGGTGATTTAAAACTAAACCAGACAGGGCCTTAAACAACTGATTTTTACTTTGAAGTTAGTACAGTGGGGCACTGGCCTGGATGATCTCTAGAGCAGTAGTCTTCAAAGTGGAGTGTGCACAGCCCAAGGGGTGTGCAAGACAATCCATTGGGCTGTTGGGAAGAAAATGTTAGAACTTTGGTAGTACAGGTATATAATTTATAAATAAATAAATATACTTATATTGGGGATTCATGTTCAAAAGGTTTTTACTGATAGGGGTGTGCAATCAAAATGGTCTGGAGACCACTGTCCTGGAGGTCTCTTCTGACATAACTTTTCTGTGTTTCTGTATTTGTCCATCTTTGATTATTTCAGTCCTATAATCAACTCTTTTTTAATAAGCTTTCGGTTTTTGTGCTTACTATTTAGTTGGCTGATTTTTTTTCAATTTATTTGTATTGGGTATAAGAATACTAGACACGTACATATTTTGCTTGTGTTCTGCTTTTAAAAAATGCCTGAGGGGAATAGAAGTTTTATGACCTTATACTTTGTATATAAATTTCTGCCTGCATTGCTAGTCTGTACGTTAACAAAAGCCACATATGAAGTTGCTGCTGTAGCCATTTTGAAAAATGGCACCGTAACATCTGAAAAAAAATCTGGATCTCTGCATTTTATTTTAGACTGCTGTTTCTAAGAAGGATCATTCTCAGTGATTTATTCACTTTAATGGGAAGGAGTGTTGCTCAGCTGTTTTATAGACATTGTTCTTGGAGACGCATGAATCAGGTGATTGAAAAAGGCAAGAGCATGACTGTCTTGGTCCCTGGTATGAGGAATGCTACAGCTGTTTCTTTTCACGGCAAATACCTGCCCCGGCCTCAGAGACTTATGTGCTAAACACCATTGGGCTCATCAGCCCTGTTAATTGCAGTTGTCCTCATGAGCTGTTGTGATAATTAGGATGTGTTGGGTTGTACTGATAGTACAGGCATTGGGGAAGCATGTGCCACCTGTCATCTTAATCTTTGTTTCTTATGACATCCTGAAGTATATCCTGCCCTGGTCTTGACAGTGTAATAATCAAATTGAGAAATGATTAGCCTGTTTATTGGCCTCTGAAGGTGCGTAAAGAATTCCTCTGGGTAGCGTAAAGCATTTGACAGTGTAAATTGGGTTGTCAAGTCTTAGTTTTTAGGTTGACTGCAATTCACATGAAATCCAAGAGCCCTGGAGACGGACGCCTTGCTTCTCCACGGAGATCCTCCAACGCAGGCAACAGCTCTGCCCGTTCTGCCCTGTGTCTCACCAGTTTGCCTCAGCCAGAGGATGGTGATCATCACTAGGGAGGGGAGAATAGTTAACTCTCCACTACCACTTCTGTACTTGGCCGTGGTAGCCGCAGTTGTTGATACAGTTGCTAGTGAGCATCAGATGGGCTGGCAAGCTTGCAACACTAGGAACTTGTTCGATACCTCTCAGCGCATGTACGAAGGCCCATGCGTCGTCCTCAGAGGGAAATATTTTTCAGTTGCTACCAAATGATTTTGTTACCTGGACAAGGAATTGGAAGCAGGTATGTTTGAGGAGGAAAAATTTTTGAAAAATCAGTCGTGCACACTATTCATAATCTGATTTTCATATTTTCAGAAAATCCAAACAAAGCACCAAAATTTATTTCAATGAAAGCCATAGTTTATTCATAATTTTAAAAATTAATTTTAAAACTTCCCATTAAAGTGAATAAATTGCTAAGCATGATCCCTCTTAGAAACAGCAGCCTAAAATAAAAAGCAGAGATCCAGATTTTTTTTCAGATGGTATGGTGCCATTCTTCAGAATGGTTACAGCAGCAGCTTCATATGCAGCTTTTATTCCCAGATAACTGAGTTTACTCAGACCTTGGAAGCATTTAGCATTTTACACATTCAGGTTCTTATTAATGACCATTTAAAATCGTTTCAAATTCTGTGATGTAAAACTTTATAGCTTTTTCTTATGTGAACTGCAGTTTCTGTTATTGCTAGAAATATGGAAAAGGTCAGCCAGCCGGGGCTTGACTATCTTGCATAATGCATAAATATTTACATGCCAGCTTTCACTAGAATGCTGACACTTCTGATACGCTATCATTTCCATCAGCCACATAAATCAGGTGGTGAAGATAAGATAGAACTTAGTCTTTTTTCTTTTTATGCACCTTGTCTGTCTTGCCATTTGAAGTACATGGTTGAACAAATGCCACGTTAGCCATTAACTAAACTTAGTCTAATACTGGCTAGACACTCACTTATGTCCTATTCTGTAAAATACCGTCTGCCAGCCGAGAA